AAAGTGACACCTTCACAATGCTTGTCCAACCAAACCTCATAATTATTAAAAACAAATTAACATTAAATTAAAAGGAAAATCAGAAAATCCTCACAGAAGTAGGAAACATGTAATGTTTCATCAATAGTTGATTGAGTTCAGCTGTACTTGTATATACTGCTGGATAGTTTAATTTATAACAAAACATGACATTTTAACAGTACTTCATATGCTTTGTCTGTAAAAAATGTGTAAAGTAGCCAGTTAATAAAGCTGAAAGATAATTGTAGTGGAATAAAAACAATATTTCCTTCTGAAACACACACTCTCTCACACACACACACGCACTCTCTCACAGTAGGGAAATGAAACACCATTTGTTCTTTGCAGATTTTATTTGTTTTTCAAATACAGGAGAGTTAATGTACAGAAGGACAAAGAATTTCATCAAGAACTGTACAATATTTACACGCCTTTTTTTCCTTTTTTATGGAAAATTAGATTGTTTTCAAAATAAGTCATAGTATGCACAAACATCAAAATGATAAAAATGAAATGACTATTTCCTCTTTAAATATTACTTATTTATACTCCTTCTTCCCACATGGGAAATGGATAGTTTACTTCTTTTTCTTTGCACCTGCATGACTGATGGCTGAAATGAAGCACAACAATGTTAAGTTTCAAATAGATTTTCCCCATTCTCTTCTTTTTTTCTTGTATTCCTTTTTTTTGTTATTTTACACCCACTGTGGTACACCCAATACTTCTGTCTCAGTGTCCGTTCTTTTGTATAGAGGGGAAGACGGCTTGGATATGTGGGTTACGATTGTACACTGAACCTGCGGGAAATAAAAAGGTATTTAAAATGTTAGGGCAGCAACCCAGCGCTTGTGAGAGTTTAAGTTAAAAACCTCCTCATATAAATAATAAAAATGTGTTTATATATTATCACACAGCTGACTGGTGCTGCCCTTCACATAGCACAGGATGAGAGAGAGAGAGTGTTTTATTATCACATTTCATGTTTCTATCCATGGACGAGTCCATGTTCACGCTGCTCATGGCACACTCTACACGCAGTTTTTAAAAAGCATTCTCACCCTCTTCCACTCTTTTCAAAAGCCAACAGCTGATGTTAGTCTTCAAAAAAATAATTTATGTAAAAACTAAGTGGTAATAGTTTCTCTTTGAACTATTGTCTTTATGACACACAGTTAACAAGATGTCAGTGGCTCCTCTGTTGACTTGGCGCTACGGCTCCTCCTCTTTGTCCTTCCGCCTTGCGTCGCTCCCTTTTCACCAACAGTCAATTCCCTCTTGACCCATCAGTGACCCCTGATCCGGTGGGGTCCTTCCTCTCTCACAAAAGTAAGACATTTCTTTAGTCATTGATCAACAACAAGAAAAAGAACAAGAGGCCAGTGTCCGAGGTCACATGAACAGACCCCCTTGTGTTCGTCAAAGGCCTTCAAAATTCATCCTCAGATCTTAGAGATTTGAAGAGGGTCGGGGGGCTGTACAGTAGGATCCGATATCTTTCCGTTTTTTGTATTTTCTTTTTTAAAAATCCTCTTGCTTTGATTCATCCCGTCTCTCTTTATGCAGTTGCCTCAGGCTTTGGTGCTGAGTGTGAGCAGCTCGATGAAGGAGCTGAAGAGGGTGTCCAGCCAGCTCTGGTTGGCCATGCACTGCTGCACCACTTCCTCTTGGCCCGGGTCCTCAGCTGCCTGCTCAATGGTGTTGGTCTAGAAAAGTGGGACAGAAGCACACACGATTGCAATGGTGAGACTCAAACCAGGGAAAAGAAAGCATATACAAGCTGGCATTGTGTAGTCTAGCATGGCATTTGTGCTATTTCTCATACAGTATATTTGAGGGAAATGGCTTAAAAGTTAATTCAAATTTTTTACTATTAATGTTACAATACTAGAAACGTGTTTGCTTACCTCTTTCTTGCACTGTAAGAAGGTGTGGTATTTATAGTGATGCAGGGAGTGGTAGAGACTGTAGATCCGATACGAATCGGCTGACAGTTTAAGGTCCTTAAAAAAGAGACAAAGAAAATGATGAGATTAAGATACGATCAGTTTTATCAAAAATATAAAGCTGCAGTGAATATTAATATTGCAGTTTCGTGTGAGAAAGAGTGAAAGTGTAGCAGGTTTGGAAACTCGCAGCAGGTGTTAAGAGGGGAAGCTGGTACCGTTTTACCCCCCCCCCCCCCCTTCACTGTTCTTACAGTAATGGTTAATTTTGTTGACGCAGTGGTTTCGGTGTCACCCAGAAAGAATCACCTGGTTTATAGGCTAAAAATCTCCCACAACGGTCCACAGAGGTCCCGATAGTGTTTGAATGTGAGACGACTCAAATAAAATGAGACAGATTTTTAAAATACATTATATTACATAATTATATTAAGAGCCCACTGACCTACAAAAGACTCTCTCACACACAAACACTTACCTGTGGTTTAGGCAGGGTCTTTTTGACTCTGTTGAGGGTCTTGCGGTTATAAGCATCCCCGCTTAGCCGCACCCTCACCACTCCTGAGTCCAGGGGGTCTACAATGATCTGTGGGTAAGCATGCAGGACCTCCTGTCATGAAAGGGGCAGAAAAAAGGAGGTTACAATTCAGAAGCTGACACAGGGAGACAGACAACTAAATATCTTGAGAGAAATGTTAAAAAAATAAAAAAATAAAAATAAAAACTTGAGACCGTGTCAGTTATTATATTCATCACCAATAAATCTTGTCTCTAATAAATATTTAGTATATCTAATGTCAGAACCCAATGCCATGTGCATTTACAATGAAAATTAAACATAAAATTACAAAAGCAGCTAACCCTCATGCAAATGTTTGACATTTTAGCATTATAAATGACTTCTTGTTTATTGACTAATCAATTAATGTACTGTTTCATGAGTGGAATCCATTACATGAATGACACAGCTTATAAACAGTTTAGTATCGCTCTTATAGTGTGTCACCGGCATACTAGCAAGTTTCATTAAGGAAGCACCGCAATGTGAAATAAAAACTGAAAAGGAAGATGTATTTTTAGTCATGAGGACACGAGAGAGAGAGAAGCAGTACAATTAGTACAGATTACCTGGTGCTGAGAGCTCATGCTGACTCTCCTCAACAACCTCCTCTTCTGTTCGCTGAGGATGCTGTCAATCTTCCTCATCGGTGGGAGGTAAAGCTCATCTGGTGGCCAATCAAGGTAGAGGAAGTTTTATTAGTCATCATTCATGTAGCTGCCAATCATTATAATGCCAAGGGCAGATTCAAAGCGGCTCTTTCTGGCTCCTGATCTATCAGCATTCCCGGGGCTTCCCTTCAACCTGTCACACCTTGTTTATTTGGATTTCAAAACCATTAAAAGATTCCTCTTAATATGCTACAAAATTCTCTAACAAATCCCCTATCGTAAGGGCAGTTGGTCCAGCTGAACCTTGGCAGCAGCTACTTTGCAGTGGTGGCCATGTTTATTCACACTGACACTTGAAAATGTTGCTGAAAATGTCTGAATGTTGACATCTGAGCTGCAGTAAACATGCTACCAGACAGGTTGGGTTAGAGATGTTCTCTCACACAATACCTGAACTCTCCATTTCTGTCCCCCTATACGTCAGTAGATTTTTTTAAACGGAAAGCTTTAATTGGGAATGTGCCGAGGAGGCAGCGTGTGCTGTTTGCGGGCCTCACCATCTGTGTCCTCCAGCGCTTGGATCATGTCGGGGTCCAGGGCTGTGCTAACCAGCATCTCCACATAGCTCCTGAACATCTCCCTCATGGCACGGTTGTTCACTCCGCCTTTCACTGGCACTGAGTGGACGAGAACCAGAGTTTTAAACTACACAATGCCAACCTTCTACTATAACACATCATATAAATAACACCTGATTGGTTATTACGGCCTCAAATGTCAAACAAAATTCTATTACAATGACTTGTAATGGCTAAATGCAAGCACAAAGAATCAAAATGGCATCTCACTTTCATTCTCACTAGCTGCCTCCTCCGATGAGTCTGAGTCAGATGATGAAGGTATTTCCTTCAGCCACTTCTTCCTCTTCTTGGGCGGTGGCTCTGCCTTCACTTTGGCTGGCTTGGACTTGGGTGGGCGCTCAGCCTTTTCCTTCTCCTTCCTCTCCAGTGCCTTCTTCTCCTCCTTCACTCTACCTCGTTCTGCTGCTGCAGCACGTTTCTCCACTTTGTCCTGCTGCAGCTGTACTCGCTTCTCCTTCTCCCTCTCCTTCTCCGAATCCCTCTCTTTCTCCTTAGCTTTGAGCACGGCAGCTGGAGTCTCCTTCTTCTCCCGTTGTTCTTTTGTTGTTGCGGTTGCAGTCCTTGTTTTCTCCCTCTGTTCTCGCTGAACTGGTGGAGCCTCTCGTTCCTCTTTCTCAACAACTCTCGGTGGCACCTGGGTGGCAGGGGGGGAAGCCATTTTGGGGAGGGACTGGCGTCTGTGACACATGAAGAAATAGTTTTAGATGAAACTACTTCTGAGAACA